TTAGAATATTTTTTTAATAAAATTACAAATACACAGTAAAAATTAATCATAAAATAATTTATTACTATTTTTAAAAGTTTTGCTTCTTCGGCTAGTTTACGCTTAGCATTAATCTCAGCTAATCTAAGTTCAGCTAGCTTTTGTTTCTTTAATGCTTCTTCTTTCATCATTGTTTCTTTTTCTTTTTGTTTTTCTTCTTTTTTCTTCTTCTCTTCAGCAGCTTTTTTAATTCTTTCTTCAGCACGTTTTATTTGTTCTTCTCTCTGTTTAGCAGCCCTTAAATGTTGATCATCAAATTTTCTATGGACAATTAAATACAAATAATAAGTAGTTGAATATTCATTAGAATATAATAATAAGCTTCAAACTAAATACATACCATCTTCTACAAACAAATGGAGGAAATTATAATAATACCACCTTATTTTTAACATGGAAAAGCAATCAATAGATTTATTGCAAAATAACAAATTATTAAAAATTGTGGATGAAATTAGTTATAATGGAATGTTTCAATTTTTAACGATTAAGAGGATACTGTGTTGTCGTACTTGTCTATGTTATCTCCGTCTTACTAAAATATATAATATACTAAAATGTATCTTCAGCAGTTCAAATTTGGTACAGTTAACTTAGAGAGATTTGACATATTATCAAACTTAAATGTAAGAACATTATCTCTGTTCTCTTGTTGGTTTTTTTACCATATTTTTTTAATTCTTAAGTGAAACATGAGCATTTTAAAATATTAATATCTTATAAACACTACTCACTTAAAAATTAAAACATCATGAAAAATAATCAAGAACACAAATTATGATTTTACATTAAACTTTGATTATAGGTCAAAAAAAAATTAAGTGAAAAACACCAAATTGGAGCTGCTGAACTCCAATTTCAACATATGCGTTGGTAAGAAGGAGACAACAGATGAGAGACATGACGTTCTATTAAGATTAATTGATTATTAGTTATAAAATAACTAAAATATTTAAGAAAATAAATTTTATCGGACATTTTTAATTTCTGGTAATTAAAACTTATAAGAAATATTGTATTAAATTTTCAAACCTTAAGTATTAAAAATAACAATTTTTTATGTTCAAAATGTCAAGATATTAACTATACATAAGTTCCTAATCTATTTATAACATTATGTACCTACATTCTTCACAAGTTTGACAAATATTTGATATATAAAATGATCACTCGTGATAAAAAATTGAGACCAAGTACTAATAAAAGATAATTAATAATTGAGATATGAAGAAAGAACTTACAAGGTATCTTGTATATTTCACTAAAAATAAAACATTTTATCATACATTTGTACATGAAAATTGTATTGTGTGTAATTAATGCTAATATAAATGTTTGGTGAAAATTTGAAGTCTCAACAGTTATTAATTTTGAACTAGGTACATAAAAAAAAAAAAAACATCTATTTTGTCGAAACTAGTCTATCCACATTTTTTTTTTTATTTTTTGTTTATTTTTTATAATACGATAAATATTATGCTTTTGACACTCAAATATCAAATAAATATAATTTTCTACTAGAAAGCACCATTAAATGTTGAATTATTTTTACTGCATTAAAAGGGGATGATAAACATGAATAATAAAAAACAAAAAAAAAAATTGTAAAATCCCTATACAGAGTGATTTTTTTATCATGAACCACTTATTATTTCAAAAAGTTTCAATGTTTTTGAAAATATTTTTTTTTTWAAGTTTCATGTTGTTAAAAAACAACGTTTTTATTTAAAAAAATATGTTTTTAAATATTTTTTGTCCTTATAATTTTTAAGATTTTTACTTTTTTGAACGGCAACCTAGAGTTTTAATTTCATATTCCAAAGCAGAATATTTTTCTAAGTATTTTGATACATAAAAATCGAATTTTGGACGAGTATTCTATGAGTTATAAGTATTTAAAGTTTAGAGAAGTAGAGTAGTGGAAAAACTTTGCGGGGTAACCTCGAACCACTCCACACTACCAATCTAAACTTTAAATACTTATAATTCATAAACTACTCTTCCAAAATTCGATTTTTACGTATCAAAATACTTAGAAAATATTCTGCTTTAAAAAAATATTTTCAAAAACATTGATACTTTTTGAAACAATGAGTTGTTCATGATAAAAAATTCAACCTGTATATTCATCAAAATTAAAATAATTGTGTAATGATTGAAGATTATCTTGCTTGTGAATTGTATGAAAACTCGAGAAATCAATAGTGGCCTTTCTTTAGTACAAATGTATAATTAATATTCATTATGCTATCTATCAGAAATAGTTAACAGCATAAGCATGATATGATAGAAAAAAAAATATTTAAAAAAAGAATTTAAAACACAAATAAAATCTGTGCAAGAGAACATTTAGATGTTGAAAGATGTTATAAACAGTATTAATAATAAATAAACAATATTTTTAAGCAATAAGTATCAAGACAGACAGACTATTAATAAAAATTAATAATACTGAAATACCTCTGGTCTGCTTTGGATTTAAGATATCTTTCTTTAATTTTTTCAGCTTCGTTTTCTCTGATTTGATKAGGAGTTTGTGTTTGAAGATCTTCTAATAATTTTACTGGCGTTGATATTTGTTTTTCTAATGGCACATATAATACATTAGTTTTTTTTGCATCAATATTATTTTCTTCTTGAAGTTTTCTTTTCATTGTTCTGGTCATAAGTGATTTTTCTTCTATATTAACATCAATATCTTCTAATTTTTCACGCCGTTTATTCTTAATTTGAGATTCAAGACTGCAAATTATATAAATACATAAAATTAAGAAAAATAATTACTAGTTATCTTGAATATTAAAAAAAATGTTATACTTTTTTTTCTTAGAATTAATTTTTACTAATGTTTCAGGTTGTTTAGAATTGGATTGTTCAGTATTAATTGAAGATTCTTCTGGTAAATCAACAATTATCTCCAATTTTTTTGTTGGATTTTTTGCTGACAATCTTTTAGTTAAATCATAAGTTTTATTGGCATTAGTTTCCTTTATATGGGTTCCAATATCTGGAGAAAACATTCCAGGAGATACAGGTTCTTCAAAATTTCTCTTAACTTTTTTATCAATTACAAAAGTTGAATTCGCTGTTGGACAAGCAATAGAGGCTATATCCATAAAAGTAGATAAAGCTCTTGCTCGGCTGGCTCCTAAAATAAAACCAAGATAATAATTAAAAAAGAAATTTTTTAATCCAAAATTATCTATAACTTATTTAAAAGTAATTATTATAAATATACATATTAGCATTGATTATAAACTCTATGGATCACTAACTGTGGTACAAATTTTATTTTTACCACAGTAAGCAATATAGTATTTATAATCAATGATATTGGGGATAGGTAAACAAACATATAACAATTAAAAACATGACATTTAAATACAATTAATTTATAGCTTAATTTATTTATTTACCAAGAGTTAGTCAAGATAAAATTTATATAAAGAGGAATACTAATTTATTTTTTTAAATACACAACAATATATATATAAATCAGTTATTACTTGTAGAAGATCCAAAACTGCTGATAGTTGATGATTCTCTAATGCCTTTTATTTTATCTGATGCAATCTATAAAAGTTCAAATATATA